TAAAGTTTTGTAAACATATGTGTAATTCATATATGAAATTATGCAGAGATCATCACTCACTCAGGATTTTAATTTATTTTAACATGTGTGTAGGCAATGGACAGACCAATTTATCTAAGAAATGCACCATCGATCTCTAAAAGGATCCAAACATTTTGATCACCTAATCAATACTATGTTATAAGAATAGAGCTACTGCAAACTACTGCATGTGATAGATTATAAAAGAAACACATCATCCTTTTTTGTACATATTGATGCATTCCAACAGCCTGTATTATGCAATATACTATATCAAACCAATTGAGAAGCTCCGAAAGTCAATTTGGTCATAGGCACAACAAGCATTACTTTACCAAGTTATTAAATAGATAACAAATAATAATACAATCCTACCAACCAATCCGAGATCCCACGGAAGGGCATATGCATATATACCACACCATGTATACAAAAGATGTTGTAGCACAAAGGAATGCGATGGAAAGAGAAGGAGAAATTGAAATGAAAGCATTAGGGAGTAGGAGATGCCAGGAAAAAGGATACGGATGCTCAGTGCACTACACGATGCTCCTTCACCACTGGACGTGGCGTGAGAGCACACGGAGGCAACAATGCTCAATGAAGAACAGAACAATTCAATACAGCTTTGAGTAGCATGGGGACGCAAGTGCTTAGTGCAGAACATAAGCATTCAATAAAGCTTCAGGCAGCATGAGACAAAACGACATCAAGTCAATGCATGCACCAGAGCGTTGTCTGTCTCTCACTAAAAATCGCAGATGTAATATACTATACTATACCTGTGGAGCAGCGGCGCGAAGAACAAATAATCAAGGACTTATTGCTTGTATTTTGGAATATTCGTTCGTAGTTCAACCACCGATGGGTCTTTCGCTGCATTATTTGGTTGACATGATACTACTTGCACAGTGGTTGAAATATTAGCATGTAAAATAAAAGTTGAGATCAATACTTTTTGTTGCGGAAATAAGTTTAACATTAGTATTGTTACTTGGTCCATTACAGTTTCTAGGCTTCAATTATGTTTGGCCCGACAATTTAATGCAAGCACACAAAATATCACCACGTGGGGCGTTGTGCCAGGAAGTCTCTCTGACGCACACTATCGATGGTTCTGGGCATTGTCCCATTTAGGCTTCGTTTTGCTTTGTTTACCTTTCTCTTGCCCGTAAACGCTCAATTTTTCTGCTTCCTTTGTCTTGGAGTTTATGTATTTAAAAAAATATGAAACAAAAAACAGTTTTACATATTTCAAAAGGATTTCTGGATTTTTTTTAAATTTCACAGATTTAACAAATTCATGATTGAAAAAAAGCATGTTTCCAAAAAATGTTAGCAATTTGAAGAAATGTTTATGAAGTTGAAAATTGTTCAAGGATTTGAAAAAACTGTATAATTTTGAAAAAGCTCATGGATTTTAAACACATTCACGAATTTGGAAAACAATCACGGATTTGAATAAAATCATGTATTCCCAAAAAATTCCAGAATTTACAAAAAAAACACAAATTTTAAAAAAACATAAGTTTGGGAAAGTTCACCAATTTTAATAAGGTTCACAATTTTGAATAATTTCAGTAGTACAAAATATTCATGATTTTGAAAAAGTTCACGGATTTTAAATATGTTAAAAAAATTGATAATTATTCTGAGAAAGTACATGAAGTTGGAAAAGTTGCAAATAAAAAACAGAAAACGGAAAAGAAAAACTCAAAGAAAAACTCTAGAAAAATCGGCCAAAGAAACACATAAAAACCTAGAAGAAAAACAAAAAGTTACAAGAAGTTAGTAGAAGCTGTCGAAAAAATAAACGACCACTGTCCAGTTACCTGGGTCGGCCTGTTGTTTTAGGAGGGTGTGCACCATGTACCAAATGGCTTTTATTTGGCGTCTTAAGCTTCAAACGGGTATTGGCCCTTGCCTTTAGCAAACTAAAAACTATGAGGTAGTTAGGATCGTCACCGCAATAGAGTTTAAAGACCAAATCCGGGATGGATTGGTGTTGTCCTCTACGCCTAGGACACTAGAATAATACATTGCCCATGAATCAATCTCGGCAAGGAACGCATGCCTTTGTTTTTTTCTCTTATCCTTTCTTATTGTTTCTTTCTCAGCTTCTATTTATTTTTCCCTTTTCCCAACTTTGCTATTATTATTTTCTCTTTAAGTGTTGTTTTATTTAATACTTTCTTTTTTCCTTTTTCTTTTATTTCCCTTTATCTTTCCTTGTATGCCAGTACCTTTATATTTTTAGAAAATATATGAACCTTTATTTGAGACATGAGAACAATTTTTCTTATAAAATTACTTTATGTCACATATCATACCGTGGATACCTTTTTC